TTGGCGGGCGCTGGGCGGGCGGATGGGACCGGGCCGGCCCTCTGGGTGCCTCGCAGGCGCGGCTGTAGCCACGGCAAGCACCAGACCATGGCGAAGCTGGCGGTGTTGATCATTCTGGGGGCCAGTCTGGCCCTTTTGGGGCAGATGTTTGTGGCGATTAGGTAAGTGCGCCCTAGGCTCTCTCGTGGTTCAGGTTTGATCAAAAACGTCCTAGGAGTGAGAAGGTGCAGCAGACTGTCCCACAGACGGCACCAACAGTTGGGTGGCTGGTTGCCTTCCTGGAGCAGGAGGGCAGAGATGTTTTCGGAAGATCAAGCTTGTCCCTCTCTCCACCCAGCCTTCCACATTTTGCTTCTGGAAACAAGAGCTTTGGAGGTGCTGGGCCTGCAGGAGAGGACCAGGCTACACCTGGGGAAGCTGGGCTAGGCAGTGCCAGATACTGGGTTTCAGACCCATCCCGGATTGAGAGAGCCAGGAAAGGAGCTGCAGCCGGCAGGTGGCAGCTGGCATTTGGAAGGATGTGGACTGTGCGAGTGCAAGATCCTTTGGGGATAGGATCCTAGTAACGTCCCAGGAAAAGTCAGCACTGGGCTAGAAAGAAGAACCTTGAAGAGAACAGTCACTCTTGCAACGGTTTAAACCCCCTGCTTGACTTCCTCTCTCTGAGCTCTTTTCATTTCTTGCTCTCTGTAGAAGCTGCTTTCCTCAGAGCCTGGGATCTAGAATCTACCGAGATAACTGACGCCTGTTGGCAATGCTTTCTAGCTCAGCTTGAGCTTGTTTATTGTTGCATTTGCTCCCCATGCCACCAAGTGACAAGATTGTAAAATAATAATAATTCGATTTAAGGCTTTTTGGGGGTGAGAGCACAGGGACAGCTAGGGAAGCACTCTACCACCAAGCTACACCCAGAGCCCTCATGTGTATTTTTATAAGATTGAACGAAAAGTCCTAGTGTACACTCTTCATGAATGTAGTTTCATAAAAATTTTAAATTATACATAATATTTATAAGAATGTTTCATGGTAGAAATAAGAACTTTGCATTGAAAGATAAATTTTGCCAATTGTTTAAATGGTGTTGAGTTTAATGAACTTACACTTTTGCAGAGTAAATCAGCATATAAAAATAGTAAAGCAAAAGCTGCAGGACTTAGCTTTTCAGAGAAATTTGGGAAGGCAAGTGTTTTGGGGGGTGTCAAAAGGCAAGATACGTTTGAAGGGAAGAAATTAAGATTTAAAATAGACGTTGCTTTAGAAAATTAAATAATGCTATTGAGAGCATTTAAATTCGTAATATTGTTTAGTTACTTATACTGTTAACAGTGCCTTTCATTGAGACAGGAAAATATTTTTCCTGTATAATCCTGTTTTAGACTTTCAGCAATAAAAGTGAAGTTAGTTTATATAAGTACATTGCTTACATAGCGTTCATGGGGAGGAAAGAGTCGACCAATGCTGAGGTGACTAAAGGCTGTGTGTACACATTGATTATTGGCATGAGACCTTGAGCCCTGTGGGTTTCTTTCCTTCTTTTTTCGTTACTGGGGATGGAACTCAGGCCCGTGTGCTAGTGAGGCAGGTGGTGGCACCACCGAGTAAAATCCCAGCCTACGGTTTCTTTATTTCTACAGAGAAAGATTTAATGCATCTCGAGAAGTGGAGCCGGTGGAACCCCGGAACTGCCACCTTATTGAGAACCTCGGTATGTATGTGTCAGTACCAACAAAGGCCAATATAATAAGTTCTTGTTACCATCTGCCTCAAAGAGCTGCCGAATGATTTCATACGCCGTTACTTTTGTGAGCCCCCTGGATGGCTTCTGCCCTCTCCACTTCACTGGAACTACCCCATGTAACATCTCCAAGGGTCTCCCAAAGGTCAATACCTGTGGCTTTTTCAGTCAGTTCCCTACATGTGTCTCCAGAACTTGGAGAATGTCATTGGAGATTGTTTGGCCATTCCCTCCCTGAGTGCTCATCTCTTCCACATCTTCTGTTTCTTGTCTTAATTCTTTTCTTTCTTTCCCTACACCAAAGTGGTGGGATCATCAGAATGGAAGGGGCCACATAGTCCTGACAGTGAGTAACTGAACATTCTGCTTGGTTTAAAGACCTGTCACCCAGTACTATTGTACAACCCTAAGAGAGAGCCCGGCAACAACTCACACTGAGTTTCCTATCAGTGTATGGAGTAGGGCAGGGAGATCAGAGCCAGATTGAATTTGACTGGGAAAAACATGAGTTGTGACATTTCTGACTTGTTTACGCTTGAGGAATCATAGCCATACCCATTGCACATGTATCTCCCATCTTCTGCAGGGACAGTCAGACTACATGATTACTGAAGTTGAGTTGTACCACTCAACTAAATTTGAGAAGCTAAAACTAAAGTTTATTTTGCAAATCAATGTTGATTACCCAAACATTCTGAGGAGAATAACAGATTCTTGGAAGCTGGCTAGGAGCAGAAGGAAAAACTACCGTATTTTTTCTTTTGTCTGTTGTTGTAATTACATTTTATGTCTGAAGAACCAAGCAGATTAAAGTGATCCTGAGTCATCTGTCAGTAAGACAACATTGACATAAACCTGAAAGGAAAACACCTCTTTGTCGAGGCTGTGGTACCAAGTCCCTTCCAAACTCCTACATCGTTCTCACAACCGATGGTAAATGAGGTGATGCTATCTGTGCTCTGATGGTGAGGCAGTTGATGACATAAAAATAAGAGTTATTTGCCCAGTGGTTCAGTACTGGAGGATGGCAGACTTAGATTAGGCAGTGCAGTGATTTTCTTCTAAGCCTTTGTAATTCTTGTTATGTAATGTTACATAACCACGGTCTAGCTACTAATAATACATTTTTATTACACAAATTCCAGATGAGTATTATGAGAACACAAGCTAAGCAGCCAGAATATCGCTAATTAAAGTCTGGCAAAGACAAGGTAGAATATATATTTAAACAAAGATAGCTTATAAAACATTGACAGAAGTTTTTGTGAAGCAATGGAGCACCACTAAGGGCTTTAGGTAGAGTATAATAGGCAGTGACAGAGTTGGAGAGAAATTCCAGTTTGGATTTTCTTCAAAACCTGTATTTTGAGGTTAATTTTATTGATGGGAGAAAACTCTTCCTTTTTTTGTGCGTTTTTCTTACCTGAATTCTTTCTTGCAGGAAATACTGAAAGATGAAATATTTCTCCCACAAGAAAAATAACAAATCTGTGCTTTTAATTGCTTTAATCTCTTTGCTGGATTCTCCCGATGTGTACACAACCCCATATGGAAATAGCATTAAATCTTTCAGGCCATCAAGTAAATCTTGATTAATCAGAATGTGGAGGAAATGGGGCTGTGGATTTAGTTCAGTGGTTCCACCACCTGCCTTGCAAGTGCAAGGACCCAAGTTTGATCCCTGGTACAAAAAAAAAAAAAAGAATGTGGAGGAAATCTTTCTCTGTTCGTTGATTTTTCAGCACCTACCACTCTCCTGTTGATTAAAATTTGCATTTTATTTAGCTTTGTCCATCTTTTCTTGTATACATTCTGCCCAGTTGCCTGTCTATTAACCCATTTCTCCCACTTTCTCATACATACAAATTACTATGGCTGGGTAAAACCCACCCCAAAGCTTAATGACTTAAAAACAATAATTATTTGGTGTCTTAGTTACTTTTTCATTGCTGAGACACAATGCCCCATGCCCACAAGTTAAAGGAGGAAAATTTATGTTGCTCACAATTTGTAGAGGTTTCAGTCAATAGTCAATTGGCTCCGAGGCAGAGCAGCATGGCAAAGCATCATGTCAGAGAAAAAGTGGCTTCATGGCATGACAGCTGATCAGGGAGGGAGATGTGCACCTTTCCAGGCCACAACCCAGGGACTCATCTCCTCCAGCCAGGCCTCACTTCCCCACATCACATTTAGCTATAAACTCATCTGGGGACCGATTCACTGAGGGTTATCATGCCCTCATGATCCATCCCATCATTCCCTAAAGCCTCACCTATGACTGAATGAGGCCCTGAGTCGACATCTAGATTTAAGTCATAGCCTTTGACTTATGACTTTCACTTTGGGCAAGGTTCAGTGCATATAATTTGCCTGTTCCACTTGCATTATCAGAAGACATTCGAAGGCTAGGAATCAGAGCCATCTGAGCTCCTCTGGTATCTCTTTTCACATCTGTTGAGTCTCTGCATTCTCTCCTCTGTAGCTCTAGAGTAGCTGGACTTCTCACATTTCAGTTCTCAGAGACCAAGGTACATACCTTGGTGCGGGGGCAGCGCCAGAGGCAGTTATGGTTGTACCACTTACCCTTGGACGATGTCACTGGAATTCTGAATCTCAAGGTAGTTACAAAGGTCCATCAGGCTCAAGAAGAAACAACAAAGACTAACTTTTAATAGAAGAGTATGAAAAACACATTCTCAGAAGACCATTCCCTTGTGGTGCATGTTCGCTCTGGAGTTTGTAGGGTATAGTTCACCACACTAGAGAACCATTGCCTTCAGGGTTGGCCCTGCTTGCCTGAGAACCATGTCTTACATAGACTGATGTGATATGATGGAAAAGTACAATGAATGCTTAAATTTTTAAATTCAATTTCAGTAAAAGAAACATTGCCATTAATCCCCTTCTATGCACTTATTCCATTGTTTTTGCCCCTTTCTGAAGCAGCTCTGAAAGTCCTTTTTTGTGGTTCTCTTTAATTGCACTGTTGTGGCTGCCTTAATGTCCTGAGTTAATTCAAAATGTCTACCTCTCTTGGTCATTTTGGCTTTGGGGAAAAGCCGGAAGTCCGTCTTCTGGTGCTAGATCCAGTGAGTAAAGTGGATAAGGACAAAGGTAAAGTTTTTTACAAACCTGCCTTTCCTTCGAGTGGCACTCAAGAGCAGCATTCACCATACTTTTTTAATCACGCCCCACAAGTATACTCACAAGAGAACATCCAAAACTGCTTCTGTTTTCTAAGAATAATGAGATCACTGTGCTTGAAGTTAGGGAAAATTTTGAAAGGGATTAATGGCAATCTGTCTTTTACTGCAATACATTTAAAAATTTAAATATTCACTGTATACCTCGACTGCCCTTTGTATGTCCCCATTAAAAGGTATGTCAAACCTTTTTTCACCTGGTCAATCAAAATTTACTTTAGAAAAGGAGGAATTTTTGGTAGAGAGGCCTAAAAGAAGCCTTTGCACCTCTGACTTTCCAAGTTTTTTCACTCAGTCTAGACCAGGCTTCTATAGAGAATAATGCAGATTCTCTCAGGCCACGCCCTAGAAATTGTTAAAGAATAAATCTAGAATGTGAATTTCTTTTCTGGTTCTCCCCCCAATATGTACCAAATGAAGTTACAATAAAATAATTTAGTATTTGGAGAATCTGACTTATATGTTCTTATAAAATAGCCTATCTATAGGAATCTTGAAAGTTCATAGTTTCCCAAGTCAGTGGTTGAAAAACTCAATGCAGTTTCAGAAGTTTGAGCTGTAAAATTTATGATTTGAAGCTTTCACACGTGCATAGTTCTGATATTTTTGTTTTGGTTTTGCAGAAAATGGCTCCGAAGATATTGATATTCTCCCTACTGGGCTGGCTTTTATCTCGAGTGTGAGTATTTTCCATGCCACTCTGCTGTTCACATCAATAGCTATCCAGACAGTGCATTCGTGTTGTCAGTTAGGGCTGCCAGATGGACTCGATGCTCTCATCCCGCCTCTGGGTAGACCGGTCAACTAAGAAAGCCCACACAGGATTCTGGAAGGCTAATTAAAACCCCACAGGAATGCCCAGCTTTGACTGCCCCCACGGTGGAGAGCTCCCCATGGTCAGCTTCATACACAAGAGTCTCCATAAGTACGTATTGATCTCCATTTGACTCCCAGACTGTCTCTAGACTGTCCCGTTGCTGTCCGTCTCCATCTGTGCCCTGTTGGACTGGGTCTCAACACCTGGTAGTCATCTTCTCACTGACTACTATTCTTCCTACCGTGCCTGGCTGTGCTGGAGCTCTGTAAATGTTAGTGGATTGAGTGTGAACCACACTACTCCATTCGAAACCTGGAGTGCTTCCATCTTGGGTTCCCTGCTCTTCCTCCCATACTTTTCAAGAAGCACAAAAGACCCTGCATCTTGTTTCCATTGCCGCTTTACCAAGTTTGAGAGGATAAGGGAGCTATGCTAGGGTTTAAAAATCATTAACAAAAAAGTATGTATTGGGGAAATGTTGAAAATTATCGTGCCTTTGTTACACCAGTTGCACATTGGAATAGGGTCTAAGATTTTTTAAAAATTGGGCTTACCATATTTTTGATGTGAATGAATTGTCATTGCTAAAACTGTGTGCATAATATTCTATTTCAGCCATTTAATAATAACACAAAGGAACATGAATTTTAAATCTAAGCATCTTTGGCCAAAAGTGAGGCATTTATAAAAACCATGGCCTGAATTTCGAAGATCTTAAATATGTACCTATGTAGACTTTATTTTTTTATTTTTCCTCCAAAATCAAAGATAAAGCAGAACTGTCTGGAAAAGCCTGTTCTTTGTTACCTGAAATTTTCGTTGTCAAGATAGATTTTCAGTATTATGCCAAACGGACCTTCAAAAATACTTGCAAAGACCTCAAAAATGTGAGATATCATTTGTTGTCAGGAAATAATATTTACCATTCCTGCAGCATGGCTTTTTCCTGTTTTGCTAGAAGTAAAACTTCATAATTATTGCTACGCAGAACGATGATATTTTCAACACAGATATTGCATGATCACTCTCAAAGTGAAGGTCTAGACAATGAGTCTTGTTTTGTAAACTAACAATTCAGAGGGTAAAGGTTATGTTCTTTGCTTATTTCTAAACTTTGTACACTGTAGTACATTGAAGACCTTGTTATCCTTAGTCTCCCCTGGCACCCTTTCTTGCCACCCTACAAAGAGTTTAAAAGCTACAGATTTAGAGTGTGCTTTTATGTAGTAAGTATTTTTAGTCTATTTAGAGGTGCCAAGCAGGATATTTTCTTCAATGCCATGGATGTTGGCTTGCTCCTCTTTGTCTGAAAGATCACTCCCTTCTTCATACCTTACTAATGAGCTCTTGTTTCTCTGTGAGCCCTCACTGTGTAGAACACTACTTCCTCAGGGAAGTCTTCCCTAGCACTCTTTCTGGGTGAAGTCCTCCTTTATGGCCCCATGTCCCCAATATGCAGGTGAATGTGCATGTAAGAAAGAGTGGGCAGGGGGCAGAAGAGTTGAATGAAGAGAATTTGAATTAACTGTAAATGGGCTAAGATATAAGGTGATTGACATTGACATATATCAGAGTTATTGGGCAAGAACATAAAGAGGAAATAAACTATTTTGTTCTTAGTGTACAATAAACCTACTCCAAGTTTGGTTGTGGTGAACTGCAGTGTGACAAAAGCCAGTACATTTGAGATACCAGTTGTTGGTTGACAAACATTCAACCTTACCAGTAGAAAGGTCCACAGTACAAGCTTCTGGAATGAACTTTTGTAATATTTGGCAAAAAGAATCAGTGTCAGCATTTTCGTGCATACCTGAAGGAACAAAATAGATTGAAAATACTTGTAGAAATACCTGTAGGAGCCTGACTCAGTTGACTCTTGGCTGATTCTACTACTTGTTGATATGTAAAATAATCAATGTACAGATAGGAACAATAAAATTAAACAGTATACCTCTTTTCTATGCTTTGAGGAAAGCAAGTTATAGAATATTAGCAACTATGTATCTCGAGTTCCTTATTTTCTAGACAAGGAAACTAAGGCTCAGCCAGGCCAAAGTTCACACACAAAGTCACACTGCCTGGTCCGTCTCATTATAATTTTTGGCTTAACTCTTTTTAAATTAAAAGTGCTTCCTTATCTTGAAGATGGCTCTTCCCATATTCACAGCCCATGCTAAGATAACCTTGGTGAATACCCAGAACAAATAGTGACCATAACTTGTGACAAAGTGAACAATCCCAAATAATTTAAATGCAACGTAGAACTTGAAGCAATTTGTGTGGCTTTGATATTTAACTTCCTTATGAAAATGTTATTTTAATATGATTATTGCTTATCCTCTATTTTTTTAAAGGGATTAAAATATCCAGGCCTGCCAGACTTTGCACCAGATGAGCCAGGAAAAATCTTCTTGATGGATCTGAATGAGCAAACCCCAAGGGCACAAGCACTAAAAATCAGTGATGGATTTGACAAATCACTATTTAATCCACATGGAATCAGTACTTTCATCGACAAAGGTAAAGCTTGAGTGAGTATAGATAAGGGACAAGGAGAGAAACAGAAACCACTAACTTGTATGACTCATCATTAATGTTAAAGACAGAGGGCTGGTGATATTTTACCATAAAAATGTATACAGTATTTGTAACATGGTAAATGTGCATGCAACATTTTTAAACATTGAGTTAAAGAAGGAATAGTAGTATTAAGGGCTCTACTTGGTCACCTCTTTCTCCTATACACTTTTCTTCTTTTTTTTTCTGTTTTTTTTTAATTGGTCCATTTTAGATGTACATGGTGATCACATTCATGGTAGGGAATAAGTATCTGTATGTAATATATCTTGATTTTTCTTCCTCCCATTACCTCCCTTCCCCTCAACCCCTCTTCTTTCTGCTCCTTATTTACAAAAGTATTATTTAGATTATTTTCTTTTCTCTTCTTTCCTTTAACCCTCTCCTCTCCCTAGTTCCCCTTCCCATTTGAACATTCTCTTCCAATTTCCCAATATCTATTATACCTATTTGCTTTTATATACCCTTTTAGTTTCTCATACCAGATAAACAATATGATAATTAAATATGTGCGCCCAATTTATTTCACTTAAGAGTATGGTTTAGGGCCAGGGATTTAGCTCAGTGGTTCTGCCGCCTGCCTCACAAGGGCAAGTCCCCTGAGTTTGATCCCTGGTACTAAAAAAACAAACAAGCAAAAAAAAAAAAAAAAAAAAAAAAATGGCCTCAAG